ATTAAAATATGAGGCCTGAAAAGTATTAGAGTTACAGAAAGGAACCTCGAGCATCAATCTAGGATTAAGACAGTTACGTATATTACTATGCTTACTAAAGACGACAAAGTCACTAATGTTAAAGTCAATACTTTTGATGGGCAAAATAGCAAGAAACGCATTTTTCACTTCTTTACGGCAATATATCCTAGAAACCAATTCTTTTACCCTTTCTTGGTCCCAAAATCAAGATACTAACAAAATCTACAGCATATGTAAATCTAAAAACATTCTGATTGAAAGGGAATGATTGACACCAAATTTACGAACAAATCCACATGTTAAGGAATAAGCCTAAAGCGGGATGACGTTTTACCCCCGACTCTATACCAAAGTGGTTTTTAAAATTCTTTCATATTAAAATTTTTGATTCCTTAGAGAATACAGGAACAATAGTCATAATTAAACAACAAAAGCAGTGTGAAAAGGATTATGGTCTAGAGATGGGGGTAAAACGTCATCTCGCTTCAGGCTTATTCAAAAGGACGCGGCATCTTGACTGCATCGCACGGATCGAAAGTTTCATAAATCGTTATCACTAACTCTTACTCACACGCTTTTGATTCAGAAATGTTAAAATATATATATATATATATATATATTTGATGGCCATTAATTTTTTTTCTGCATTTTTTTGATGTTTTCGAATATTTTCAAAGTGTTTCTTTAATACCCTACCTTACGCTATATAGCGCGCGTCATTTCAACGACGGATTCATCACATTTGTTCAGCGTTTAACAAATAAAATAATTTAAAAAAACGAATTTATTCAATTTTTTGAACAAGAATATGCTGGTGTATGTTTATGCCAAGTTTGAAAAAAAAGATTCTGATTTCAACTTCATTTGCCCGCGAACGTCCTTAAACCTACGACATGGAGGCTATTTCGAATCTATTTTCTAATACAATGCTGATGCTAGAAGAACTCGGTTTTGCCATAAGATCAACATACATATCTTATTTTCTGTTGCAAGATTAAAGACTGGAATATTCCAGATTGAATGACGTTTTAGGTTTATCGAAAATGTACTATATTTTGGATTTATTTTACTTTATTTCTATAATCTTAATTCATTTAAGCAGCCTGCAGTAAAATACCTTTCTTAAACAGCTGTATAACAATGAAACTTGTTTTTCTTTTAAAATGACGAAATAGAAATTTAAATTTCAATATTTTCAGGCTACATTTAAAAGGTTCATATTGTAGCCTAGAAATGTTAAAATTCAAGGTTTCTATTTCATCATTTTAAAAGAAAAGCATATTTCATTGCTGCTCTATCGATCCTATACAACTTAAGTAAAATTTTTAAAATCAGGTTATCAAATGATGACTTTGAGTGGCGATGAAAGGCGAGGAAACGAATCAAAGTCTGGTCTGTGAAGATAATCAGAAATACGACTACTGACACCACATTGTTTGGCATAGGTCATTATATATATAGCTGGAAGGAAAGCTACAGATTAATTTAGTCGTCAGAGCAGCGACTTGGACATAAAATGCGATATCAATCATTCTTTAGCAGAAGCCGTCACGTTAAGAGATTGATTGATTAAAACGGAAGTGAAACTAACATAAATGGCGCTAATGTGCTGCCATTCTAGACCACGTGTTATTTGAGTTTATGAATTTTCTCAGATGTCTCATGCACGTGAATACGCATTAATTAATTAATTCATTCATTCATTCATTCAATGCATTCATTCATTCATTCATTCATTCATTCATTCATTCATACATTCATCGTTCGTTCGTTCGTTCGTTCGTTCGTTCGTTCGTTCATTTACTTATTTATTTGTGCAGTCCAATTCAGCTTCAAGGCTGGTGTTAATGGAGGTCTGTCACATGTAACGAAATAACAATAAACTTACAAAATAGCACACAGGTATGAAAGAAATTATATTACAAGGTATATCTAGAAATGACAAGTGGTCTGAAATGGGGGAATATAGTACGCCTATGCTGTTAGACATGACGGCGAGCAAGACAAATGACATAGTTGAAGAGTAATCAGAAAGCACTGGTAATAGCTTGAAAATAAGGAAAAGTAAATCATCCTGGAAGTGACTCATTTCTAAATATGATCAATTTGAAATGATCATCAGAGGTTTTTTCTCTTATGCTCATGATCTGATGAAGTTTGTTATCAGCGATACATGATTTTATTTCTCCTTTCTTTCTTTCTTTCTTTCTTTTTTTCTCTCTTTCTTTCTTCCTTTCATGACTGACTTGCTACCCGCTAAATCTCATTTAATGCACGTACAAGCTTATAAACTTGTACGTGGAATATATTTGAAGTTCAAACAACCCTTTTCTTACTAATTACATCACGTAATATTTTACAGTTTACCTTAAATTTGCTCGTATGTTCTTTTTCAAGGACTTAACTCCTTTTACAGCATCAAACTGGTATTTAATATAAACAGTCTTGAAGTGATTCTTATGTCTCATGGATGTGGCCGGATGCTTCGCTTGAAAGCTAACCTTTTATTTGTCCTTTTATATAAGCTTCTGCTGGCTTGCCGTTTTTAATACAACCAAACATTGATTGAAACTTAGCATATGGCATGGAAAAACCTTTAAAACTTCAAGAAGCCGCACTCAAACTATGAAATATTTTCGGGTTATTCCACATCTTACCCCATGTAGAATCAACACTGAGAATATTGTCAGAAGGGTGATAGGCACTTTAAATTTAATCCATTGCTTTGCAGGAGATCTGAAATCTAGGCGCGCAATGCATTGTTCATCACAGAAAGTATCCAAGTATTTTCTATCATTTCTTGACAATTGTTTGAGCTTATATACCTACTTGTGTACAGAGTAACTTATAATTCAATAAAAACAAACAAACAGAAACTTTTAGTTTGCGTAACAAATTCACGCAAAACTTTTAGCAAAACGTTTAGCAAAACTTTTAGGCCATAGTTCGTTGCCTTTTTAGTATTGATAGGAATGGCATTTACTTTCATTTTTTCAATTCCCTCATCGGAAATTGTAACAAAACGATTGCCGGCAGATGCCATTTTGTTGCCGACTCAATATTCCGAGATTCAGAGGTGAATATCGTACAATATTCACCTCCAATTAACCAATGAGCGCGCGCGTTCTTATGAAGTACACAAGTTGGTATATGCTATTAAACGAAATATTTTCCACCAACGACGACGGGAAACACTATTTCTAAACGATATCTGATAAATCTTTCCACGGATGTGTTTTATTTCGAGTCAAAGATTTTTTTTCTTTTTTCGAGCGGAAAATTTAAAATTAGGAAACCTTGAGCTACGAACAAAATTTTTGCTGATTGAGCAATTCGTTCTTCCTGATAGAAGCATAGTTAACTATGATAGAAGTGATATGTTTTCTTTTTTGTCTTGTTCGCATACTGTTAAATTTGACCAATTACCGCCATGGTTGACGGTGATGCCTAAAACGGACTCGACTCATTTCAGTAGCCCCAGGAGGTTGTTAAACAAGAGACAATAATTCCTATGCCGACAGTATCTGGGCTTGCTGCAAGGATGTCTCATTCAGATCAGTATCGACGTATAATATTCAAAATACATTCATAATATCAAACATAATTAATTAACACACCAAAAAGTTATAAACTTGGTTTTTCAAGGGTTTCGACCAATCAAAGCGCTCGCATTATTTGAAATATTTTATATTTAACAATTATTCGCCGAAGACGAATTGAATATATCCATGAGAGACCTTATAGGTAATATATAACATGCTACTTCAATTCAGCCCACAATTCATTTCAGTCTCAAATTTCAAATCTCCGACCTACAACGTGTTTTGGAATAAACAACAAATTGAAATTTATTATTTGTTTTTATCAATTTATTCATTAATTAATTCAATTCTTTGCCATCCGTGGTTCAGTAATAGTATTACCCTGCCGGAGTTTATATACTGTGCGACGTTTGGAAGTTGCCACGAAAACAATCTTCTGTGGCGGATTTAGGGGGGGTTCATTGGGTGCAAATGAACCCCCCACC